GCGGCGTTGGGTCTGAATGCGGACTCATAATGAGCAAAATATTGTCGTGAGATGCTCACCGTGCAGATCCCCAACCATCATAGTTCATTTCGAAAGCATTAGGTACACGAGACATATACAGTAGCAGGATGGTGGTTCAACGATGACGTCATTGTGAGTTTGCGCCAACAACCGCGCTCGCCATTGTGATCGATATCACAGGCTTTTTGTTTCGACAATCCCCTCGTTCATGCTCAGTCTGACCGTTTCAGGGTTGGCCGGTTGGTATCAGTGCCTATCAATAGCAATAGACGCGAGTGCGAGGCGCTCCAGCTAGTGTGTATTATCGAAAAGAATGATTTGGGTTTTTCTAGTGTCTACATGGAATATGAAGGTGGAGGACGGAGATCGTCATCGTAAAGGGAGGCCACAGTTGAGATGGCTTCATCTTATAGTCGTGCACTTACAGAGGTCTATAGCACACGAGTATATGGGCTCAAATGATGACTCATAACAAGGTGCGGTGATGTCACTGAGAAGTCGTATGACTATCGACCCGTGGGCCACTAAGGGACTCTTGTGGGTGGATGTTTATGACTGGGCTGGGGGGGTAGCGGGGTTTATGATGGGACCATTCAGCGTTGTACTTTACTTTTCGGGGCATTGCCCTCTTTCTTTTTATCAATCTGAATGAGCGGCGGCGGCCCCCAGCCGCCTTTCACAAGGCAATTTTCTGCATCGTCAGCCCCTAAGGGGGTGTTCGAAAACGGTGGTCAACCTAATGCAGTCAACCTACAACAGCAACAACCGGCATCTCAGCAAGAGCAGTCATCACTAACCCATATGGGAGGGCACTACTACCCACCCCCTCCCCCACAGGGCTTCACTGGCAGCTCTGATATGGGTGGTAGTGGGGGGTACCCAGCAGCGCCAGGTGGGGTGTATGCAGTACCTGCCCCTGGGGGCGGTCCTTTCATGATGGCTGCATATCCGATGGGAGCCTATGGACCCAACAGCGGCATGGTACCATCAATCATGGGCAATGTATTGCCCCCCACTATGAGCGGTCAGCAACAACAGCCACCACAACAGGGAGGTCCTGGGTTCAATCCCAGGGGGATGCAACAACACAGTAGTAAAGGATTGGGACCGTGGCCCATACACTGGCTCTCAGGGCCACCGCACAATAGGCGTGGAGGGATGCCTGGGAACTCGAAGCAGCAGATTGTCCATTTCGATGAGTCCTCAGCAGCAACCGAGACCGTTGATAGGGCCATCGTCAGTGCACTGAAACAGCCTCAGCATAGGCGTTTGCTCCTAGAGGTGGAGCCTGCTATAAAAAGAATGGTAGGGGAAGGAGAAGGAGGGAACAATGGGGAATTACTAGTGTCCATTGTAGATAACGGAAACCGATTCGGAAAGGTTGAAGTTGACGAACCCTTTAGGAAAATATCAGAGGATGCTGATACATAAGCTGGGGGACTATTATAGGTAGGTCACATTCCCGATATTAGCAGTAGTAGTAGTGTACTAACATCAGGATGGATCGTGTAGTTGACTATACGAAGGGATCTGAGATGAGTACAGTAACCCTCATACGTACTGAGAGGACGTGTGTGCCCAACACGATATTGCAAGAGCTATGTCGGACTGCATTGGAGGCAGCAGAGATGGCTGACGGAAGTGGACATCCCTGGCCGTATGTGCCCAGGCAACAACAACAACAAGAGTCTGGCCATCGTCAGCAACAGGAACAGTACGATGTTCATGGAGGGCCTCCACATGATGACACTCGGGCTCGCTCGGATGAGGGGGTGCTGGAGGTGAGTCGCCTAGGCTTGAGGTTGTCTCTACTTGGGATTTTTCAGCAACAAGGCATGGAGCACTGCGCTGATGAGAGAGGGACTTGCAGTGAAGGGGGCGCCTCAGGTGGAGGCACCCCATCAGAGACGGCAGAGGATCCAACAGCAGCGACAGGCATCATACCAACGAAGGGTCGTAGTGTGAAGATCCTCAGGAGAGGCCCCGGGTCGAAGGGCAAGAATATGAGGGGGGCTACTAGGGGGGCTGAGGACGACGAGTTTTCGAGTGATGAAGGCGGCAAGCATTCGGAAGCTAACCTCTTACATAATCTCCCGGTGAGAATCAGTATGGTTATTTTTGGGCCTGATTTGTATCTTTATAGGTCGACCAACGGGAGGAGCATTATAATAAGATACGTGCTAAGATCTTCCAGGAGGATGATGGTACACCATTAGTGTGTTCTAACGAGGAGCTGGCAGCTATGGAGGGCGCACGCAAGCACATACCTAAGGGCACTGACTTGGATGATCCAGAGTAGGATGGTAGCATAGGCTAGTGGTGCGGCAAATGTCGTTCTTTTTAGTTACAATCGTCAAGCTGTATCCATCATACCTCAATTGGGTAGAGTTCAGAAAGCCCCTCCTACGTTGATGAGCGACCCAGCTGCCTATAATGCGGAGTTTCCGGCCCTCGGAGGAGGAGTAGGAGGAGGGTACGATGATGAAGACAGGAATAAGGAGGGTCGTCGTAGGGGTGGTAACAATAAGAGGCAACAACAGCAATTCCAACAGCAACAACAGCCATACACCGGGAACACGATGTACCCACGCGGCATCCCGGTATCTCCTATGATGCAGTTTTCCCATGGCCCAGGGGTGTCTGCTGGTGCTGCCACTACCACAGCCGATGCAGCAACGATTGCCGCCTTCCAGCAGGGGTATATAGCTGCGACCATGGCTGCTGCTGCTGCCGCCGCCCAGCAACAAGGCGTTGCTTGGAATCCTCCCCCACCGCCTCCGATGAACTTTCCCTCTCCATCATCACAACAACAACAAGATAGTCTACTCCCGAATCCAGGTGGGACGGCACCGACGAAGTTCCCGGGCCACTATCAGCAGCCGTCGGGAATGCCATTGGGCACTACTGGAGGACACAGTGAAGGAACCCAACAGCAACAATGGGGAGGTGCTGTTCCTTCACCACGAAAGGGTGGTAGAG